GGGCTCTTAAAAATGTTCTCTTTTTTGACTTCTTTCATGGTATCTCAACCAGTCCCTGCAAGTTTGTTTCATGGCAGAGCCTTTCCTTCGTAGGACATACTTTTTAACCTGGAACACTAGAATTGTCAGGATCCCTAAAGTTATCTTGTCCATCCTTTATTCATCTTTCAGAACTTGCCCAACATCAGCCCAGACAGTTGCTGACACACCGTGGACATTCAGTAACTGTTAAAGTGTGCTCTTTGTGGTCAGGCGGACTTGGATTTACATCCTGGCTTTGTCAGTTCACTGACCAGGTGACTGGGCTGGTTCCATCTTGTGCAAGATGGGGGTAGCGATCCATATCTTCTAGTACTGGTGGGAGGCCTCAGTGAGAGGGTGTGTGTGAGGACTTGGCACAGTGTCTGGCCCGGAATAAGCCAGTTCCCTCCTCCCTTTGAATGTATTAGTCAGCATCCTTGAGAAGAGAATTTCCCCCTCTCTCAGTCACCAGTCCCTTCCCTGACAACCATGGTGGAACGCCTTCCTTTTGTCAAACGTGTAAGTCCTTCTGGTTCCAACTTACGTTATGTAATTAACGTTTAAGGGTGATCCTTCTGGCAATCATGTAGAAATGAAGAAGAATCAACCTGTGTAAAAACAAACAGGAAAAACCTCTGGACTGCCCCATGAGAATGGTGTGGGAAGAGAATGGACAGTAAAGGTAGGTAGGTAGATATGGGGACAGGGATTGAGGTCAAGACCGGATTTGTTGCTGAGCTTGGGCAGAGCTATGTTACATAGGCGTGTACTTCTTTTCGGTGTGATGTGCACCTGAGGCTTCAGAACTGTAGAGAAAGTGAAGACCTTTGTGACCTTCCTGAGAGCATGGCTGTCTTCTGCTTGAACCATCAGTTAGTATACTCATTCTTGGCCAGAACTGAGTTTCAGGGATGTGCCATGAGCTGTAAGAGCCAGTGTTCTTAGGAAGTGGTCAGGCTTCTTCAGTGATTGAGCCATTTCTTGGCATTTAACACAGTATCATCTTACACCAAAGACAAAACCTAAGCTGGTGTTTGCAGAGTAACACTCCCCTTTCTGTTCATTCTCTTGATCTTGTGGAGAAAACTGATGGTTAGCACACCAACTTCTATCGATTCTGTAGATTTGTGCAGAACTCATTCTACAAGAGAAATCTCTTTAGGAATTCGCTGTGACTCCCAGTGGGAATTTTGGGGGTACTCTCATTATTCCCTGAGATTCTTTTTCCCTGATTGAGTTAGGAGCAAAATGCTTACTCACTGCTTTATTCTTGGAGTAGAGGCAAACAGAAATCAGAGCTAAATGTATGGGATATGGGTTGAAAGATAGGAAATTTTACATATGATTATTGAAAATGGTTTTGAGCAGGTAGTGAAGGCCTCATTTATTCATCCATTCATCCCACATGTATTTGTTGGATGCTCACAAAGTGCCAAGCGCCATTCTCAGTCCTAGGAAGGCACATAGCCTTCCACGAAACCGTCCGAGGTCAGACTTCCCTCTCAGGGAGCCAGAATAGGTCTGGCTCCTCCTCTATATATTACTGATGACTTTTTTCACTCCCTCTCTCCGGGAGACAGTGCTGGCTTCCCTTTTTGTTTATAACTGTCAGAGATGAGTCATCCCTTCACCGTAAGTGTCACAGAATCACACAGCACATTCCAGCCTGGTTTGTACCGCCGCCAGGATGTCAGGCAGGCAGCTCTTTCTGCCTCTCTCCCGCACGCACGGTCATCGGTGTGGTGAGACCACCTGCACACGCTAACTGGGGAATGGGGGAGAGAGAGAGCATCGTACTTGTTGTCTATCCATTTTTGTTTAGTACAGGATATATTTAGGAGTGGACAACTTCTTCCTATTTGCCAGTATATCAGGTGGTATCTACCATTAGAAAGCCCTGAAGCCTTTAAAAAATGAATTTGCACCTGTGAGCAAATGAAGTCAGCAGTCTCCTAGGAAGGATATTGGTTCTGCAAGTGGAACCCACAGCTTTTGGTTTTCTTGCACACACAAAATGGTTCTTTGAGGAAACCCTGTGAATTTATTTTAGAATTTAGAATAAACAAAATTATTCCTGACGATTTTCAAAGAACTCTTACTTTGGTTTTGCATATTTAGGCTTTTTTCTCATGATATTCCTGTAATAAGTTTGGTTGGTTTATATCTTTCAAAGTGTATATATTTAAGAGAGGTTTGCAACTTTAAAATACATATTTTTAAAAACATGTTCACCTGTAATTCTCTATCTTACTATAACTTTTCTTGGGATTCTCGCTTAGTCTTTATTAAATTATTATATGTATTATAATGTTGGTATTTAGGCATTTGTGTGTTCTACTCTAAGCCATAAAAGTTCTTACCCACTTTTTGAATATGCCTCATGAAGTGATTCATACTCCAGCATTGTGACTCAGGGTAGTGAAGGGGGTTTGTCTTGAACAGTGGGGTGAGTGTCGACTAGTCTACCGACCAGAAAACATTTCATGCAATTCAAGGCATAGATGAAATAGCAGATCTCTTCTTGGCCTAGACTTGGATGGAAAGTAGCCGGATTTTCAGTGTTTGCTCAAATTAGAAATGGTGAGATGCTAAAAGCCCTTGTAGCTTTAGAGAGTTCAGAGTGGCCAAATAATAGTTTTGTGATCTACCTGAGAATTAAACTTACTAATTCTTTATTAGGGAAGATGAGATCTTTGTAAAGCTTTTCTGGGGATGGGAGATCTCTCTCTCTTACACACACACACACACACACACACACACACACACACAGTACAAGAAACAATAGACTGGCATTTCCCAGCCCTTTCTTAACTAACACACACACACACAGAAAAGGTCCCAGGTTTTTATTTAAAAAATTTTTTTCATCAAAAATACCTGCTACTCAATAGGGTAAGGAATGAAAACAATATAAGCCTGAAAGAAAACAAATTGCATATTTTTTACATTTCAAATAAAGTACATTTGCAACATCTGATAAATGTTAAGGACACAAACTTGAACAGGTTTGTGTTGAATTCTTTTACAACTCTGTAAAATGTGCTAGAATTCTGTGGAGGATTGATTTTGAGTTTGCGGGTCCCTGAAGACATCCCCTTGGTGTGCCTACAATGGTGATACAGGTATGAGCCTCCTGGTCGACCCTTAGGTCTGGAATGCCAGGCAGAGTAGACAAGAAGAGCAGCCTATGCCATGGATGGAAACATATGCTAAGTGCCTCAGGATCCTCAGGAAAGAAGTAGAACACAAAGCAAAAACTATTGGCTAGAAAAGGACCTGTAGAGGTTTGTTTCTAAACCAAAGATCATTCTTGAAACTCACTTTAAGATCTTGGGTGTATGGGGGTGCCTGGGTGGCTCAGTCGTTAAGCGTCTTGCCTTCGGCTCAGGTCGTGATCCCGGGGTCCTGGGATCGAGCCCCGCATCGGGGTCCCTGCTCGGCGGGAAGCCTGCTTCTCCCTCTCCTACTCCCCCGTTTGTGTTCCCTCTCTCACTGTGTGTCTCTCTCTGTCAAATAAATAAAATCTTAAAAAAAAAAAAGATCTTGGGTGTATGAGTTATGATTGGGTTCAATCATATGTAACAGACAAAAAAAAAAAAGCACTTGCTTAAACAAGATAGAAGTTAATTTTTTTTTCCCTCACATGAAAGGAGTCTGAAGCCAGACTGGTGTGCCCACTCTGCTGTCACCAGGGACCCAGGCCCCCTATTTCTTTTTGCTTCATCATCCTCAATGCTGGCTTCTATCCTCAGGTTTGCCTTAGGGCTGTAGGATGACCTTCCTGTTCAAAAGGCAAAAAGGGTGAGGCCAAAGAGCATACTTCCTGGTAGAATTGAACCCCCTCTAAAGAACCTTCCTGAAAGCCCCATGCACTTATCGGGCAGCCTTGTCGGTAAAGGCCATTGCCTTCCCAATAATGCAGAGGGTAAACATTGGATAGGCAAACCTTAGTCTCTGTCATACCACGTGATAATGAGAATAAAGGTATTACCAGGACTTTGGTGGCTAAGACTTTGGGATACCTGCAAACTTTTAGAATAGGACAGTAATGTTTGGCAAACCTGGTTTTTAGTTTGCTCCTTGATTGATTCAACAATAGTGAGGGCTATATGTTAGGCACTGCAATTACCATAGTTAACAAGGTAGACATGGTCCCTGCCCTCAAAAGGGTTGACAGGCTATTGGGGAAACATGGATTTTATTTATTTTTTATTTTTTTTAAGGATTTTATTTATTTGTGGTGGGGGGTGCAGCACAAGCTGGGGAAGAAGCAGAGAGAGAGTCAGGCTCCCCGCTGAGCAAGGAGCCTGATGCAGGACTCGATCCTAGGACCCTGGGATCGTGACCTGAGCCAAAGGCAGAATCTCAACCAACTGAGCCATCCAGGTACCCCGAAAAATGGGTTTGAAATAAATAAATTATAAATGTGTTGAACATTGAGGAAAGGAGAAGTAGAGAGTGCTTGGGATTGTGTACTAGGAAGGACTTACTTAAGAGCATGACAGGAATACACAGGGAGATTGGAAAGCTGCTTGGGAGTTAGCCTGGGAGTTAGCCACTTTAGAAAGGTGGGGCTGGGAAGATGAGCAAAGAGGAGAGTGGGAGGAATGTTCCAGGCAGCCTCAATCCCGATCTGATCATGTCCACATTAATTCTTTCTCCTTCCATTATTTGTCTTACTCCTTCATTGGAGGTCATCAGTGGGTTTCCAAACAGTGAAGGAAGCTAGGAACTAAAGTCTTTTTATCTGCCAGCCTTTCTACAGACTGTTTTCTCACTCACTCTAGATGAGTGCCTGCCTCTTAGGCTGCGGCAGGGAGTGTTGGGAACTCAGGGAAGGAGGTGGGCAAGTCGTTGGGGCGTACCGAAGTCCCACTGCCCCGTCACAGATCTGGATTTTGGTCTCATTGTGGGACTTTGGGGAGGCAAGGATTGGTTCTGACCCCGAAGTGCTGATATGACCCCCCTTCCCCTTCCAGGATGTGGACATTGTGGTAGCACCGTGCCAAGGCCTCCGGCCTGCAGTGGATGTTCTGGGTGACTTGGTGAATGATTTCTTGCCTGTGATAACCTATGCACTCCACAAAGACGAACTGTCTGAGAGGGACGAGCAAGAGCTTCAGGAAATCCGAAAGTATTTCTCCTTTCCCGTATTCTTTTTCAAAGTGCCGCAGCTGGGCTCGGAGATCATTGCCTCATGTACCAGAAGAATAGAGAGTGAAAGATCAGCCCTCCATCACCAGCTGATGGGCCTGGGCTACCTGAGTAGCAGTCACTGCAACTGTGGGGCCCCTGGCCAAGACACTAAAGCTCAGAGCATGTTGGTGGAGCAAAGTGAGAAACTGAGGCACTTGAGCACATTTTCCCAGCAGGTGCTACAGACTCGCCTGGTGGACGCAGCCAAGGCCCTGAACCGGGTGCACTGTCTCTGCCTCGACATCTTTATTAACCAGGCCTTTGACATGCAGCGGGACCTACAGATCACTCCCAAACGTCTGGAATATACTCGAAAAAAGGAAAATGAGTTGTACGAATCACTGATGAATATTGCTAACCGAAAGCAGGAAGAAATGAAGGACATGATTGTTGAGACGCTTAACACCATGAAGGAGGAACTTCTGGATGATGCTGCCAACATGGAATTTAAAGGTAGGTCTAGAGAGCTTGGTGTGGGCTGCTGGGACCACAGGATTCTTTAACCCTTTCTTAGCTGGAAACTGAGTCCCATGAATTCCAAAGGCCAAAGACGGCTCAGGAACATCTCGTCTACCCAACTGTCATGAGTAGGAGCCCGCCTTAAATCACTTAGCCAGAGTGGCCTCTCTTCTCAGAGGCCTTCCTGGAAGATTCCACTGTCATTCCTTCCTGGGACTGGTAGTCCAGCTTCTGGTAAGTTCATCCTACTAGCGCTCTTAAATTTCCAGTTTATATCTATATCCCCTTGACCTTGACGGAGCTGGAAAAGAGCTGCCTGAAGAGCATTACTAAGTCATGCTTTAACCTTGGCTTTAACCTTCAGCATGGCCCCTGCTTCCTTATTGGTTCTTTTTTGTGTGCTTTGGTCTCATTTTCTTTCCAAGCTGCTCCTGAAACCCAGCTCAGGAGTATTTCCCAAAGTTGTGTTTACTACTTTTCTGGAAGTCCGTTCTTCATGAGTGGCTATTAACAAAATTGGACCAAAGTGATTCGTCAGGTCTTTTGGGGTTGAGGTCTTGATGTGGCTGACTTTGTATACTGACTACTCTGTAAACCTCCCTGTAGGAACATTAGCCCTACCACCCATTAAGAACAGTGATGTGGTTTGCAAGTTACCTTGAGGTTCTCAATCATTGCTGTACACCCAAATCTCCTGGGGGGCTTTTTGAAAATAGATGTTTGAAATCACCCCAGAGCACTCCAGACCGATTAATCAGAATTTCTGACGTGGGACCTCGCATCAGTTTTTTCTCAGTCCCTCCATAGATTCTGCATATTGCCATCTTCCTGATGAGAGAACTGAGGCTTAGGCGGTTAAGTAATTTGCTCAAGGTCACAGCTACTGAAGACTAAAGGCAAGAGTTTGAAACTAGCACTCTCATACCTGAGCCCATACTCTGAATTTCCATGCTTTACTGCCTCTGAATCTCTTCCCAGTTACTGCTGCCGCCATCTTCCTAGTAACTGGCTTTGGAACCTCAGCATGGTCTCCAGCTCTTTGCTCTCCGTTGTCCCCACATCCGGTCAGCGGCCAAGTTCTGATGTGTCTTCTTCCATATTTCAGGTCTACCTTTGCTTTTCTGTCTCCTCTTCCTCAGTCCACCTGAGCTACTGCTCTCCCTATAGCTCCTAGCTACCTGTTGTTCTCCCAGACATCTTTCTCTCCTTTCTCCAGTTCATCTGCATTGGCTCTGTGTTCCTACAGACTAAGTTTAGACTTGTTAGCCCAGTGGTAAGGATCTTCCAAAGCCTAGCCCTGACCAACTTTCCCGGTCCTGTTTCCCACTAGGCACCTTCTGCTAATTTCACTTTCTCTTGCTCTCAGCTGCTTGCTGTCCTCCATCTCTTCTTTTGCTTTTTCTTTACTCCCGCCCTGCCCTAAACCCAAAAAGTCTTTTATTTGTGAATTTCCAAATCCTACCCACCCTTCAAGGTTTCTTCTAAATAACGTCTTTCGTGAAGGTGTCTTTAATTTTCTTAGCTAATAGTGATCACATCCATCTGAACTCCCACTGCATTTCATGCGTACCTGAAATTTCTGGCATATTTCATTTTCTTTTATTACAATTGTTTATGTTCTTCTGAGTGTTTTCTAAAATCCGAGAGAGGAAGGAGAATAGGGTCTTGTTTATCATCATATCTCCTACAGCAGTTCACACAGAGATGTGTACACTACCTCGTGGGAGTTTGAATGAGTATGTGAATTTTGGTATATGGCTGTGTCACACTTACACAGAGGAAACAGAGTCCACTTTAGCAAGCACAGGAAGCTTTATTTCTTATAGGTCTTTCTAAAGATGAGCAAAGGTAACTCTGGTGAATTCCCAGGGTGGGGAGGACTTGCAGTGGAGATCCTAAGAAGGCTCCTGACCAACTTAGGATGCTGGGGCATCAGCGTCAGCATCATAGCGCACAGGATCAAGGGGGCAGGGCAGGGAGGTTGGGCAGTCTGTGAAATATTTGATTGTTTATTATGTGCCAGGGATACCATGTCTGGTACCTGGGATGCAGGGGTTAGTTCAACAGACGCAGGGGGAACTGGGAACAAGTAGATCAGACATCTGGCTCTGTCAACTACATGGTGGATTTGTGAAGCCACTTTCCGAGTTAGCTGTGTATTAGATGGGACTAACCTTGTTCTAAGTTCTTTCTGGGGATCCTTGAGGCAATGGTAAGTAGATTTAGAAGAGAGCTACCACATAACCTAAGGAGCTGGATTTCTGGTATTGGTTTTTGTTTTAAAATAAAGGTAACGTGGGGCACCTGGGTGGCTCAGGCGGTTAAACGTCTGTCTGACTTGGGCTCAGGTCATGATTTCGGGGTCCTGGGATCAGGCCCCATGGCAGGCTCCCCCCTCAGGGGGGAGTCTACTTGTCCCTCTCCCTCTGCCCCTCCCCCTGCTCGTGCGCACGTGCGTGCTCTCGCTCTTTCTCTCAAATAAAATCTTAAAAAAATAATAAAATAGAGGTAATGCATTACATACATACTTCAGAAAATACTTTTTTTTAAAAAAAATACCTACATGCATAGTACTTCACTCAGAGATATAAAGATACTGTCCTCCAGCCACCTAGTTTTCCTCCATATGTTCTTCTGCCCCTTGCTTTTTCACTGAACTCATATCTTAGAGATCTTCCCATAAATGTACATATGGATTTGTCGTCTTCTAATAGATGTACCTGATTTTATTCAACTATACCCCTACTGATGGACATTTAGGCTCATTCTTTCTTTTTTCTTTTTTGCTGTTACAAACTCTACTGCATTATCATTTACATGCATATCTTTGGGGCTTGTAAAGGTATATTTCTAGAAAAACAATTCCTAGAAGCAGAATAGTTAGGTCAAAGGGTATGTAGATATTTTGTTTGTTGGTTGGTTAGTTTAAAATTTTGATAGGTTAAAAAAAATTTTTTGGTAGATATTATGAGATTTCCTCTAAAGAGGGGGCACCAATTTAAATTCCCACAGTAGACATCAGAGTGCCTTTTTATGAGTGGAGTTTTTGCAGGTAATTTGTCTTCTCTTAAGTTCTGTCCTCTGACTTGCAGAACAGATTTCTAATTCTGGGAGGTAGTAGCAGGTTGGCGACAACATTACAGGTTTACTTTTTATTTATTAATTGATTAGAATCAAATCCCCAACTCTTGGATTTTTCCAGGAGTTCTGCAGTGTGAAATAGTACAAAGATCCAAGGCAGTCCATGAACTTGGGTTTTAGGTGCTAGCTGTCGTCCTTCCTAACTGTGCCGTCCCCTTCCCAGTGCCCCCTCTGCCCTCTCCTTGAGGTTGTTTCCTGATCTATAAAATATCACCAGTAATACCCACCTGACAAAGTTATCATGAGGATTAAATTCGATTACATATATAAAATACTAATTATGGTGCCTCTCAAATTGTCTGCACTCAATAAATATTCCTCCTGTCCTATAAATGTGACATAAAAGCTGACAAAATCAATAGGTTCATTCTGGACACAGTTGCTCCCTCTCAGGATTCTTAGATGCCCTAGCAGTAGAGGACCATGTGGCCGCGGATCACGCCGAGGGTCAGAGTTCGCCAGCCAGCCATGTGTTTTATAGCCGTCGTCATGGCAGCTCCTTGGCTTTGATGGGGAGAGGCCTTTCTTCTGAGTGCCTGCCCCTTCCCCTCACAGCCAGCTGGCTTCTCTCTCTGCCTCCATAGATGTTATTGTCCCCGAGAATGGAGAGGCAGTGGGCACCAGAGAAATCAAATGCTGCATCCGGCAGATCCAGGAGCTCATCATCTCCCGGCTCAATCAGGCAGTGGCTAACAAGCTGATCAGCTCAGTGGATTACCTGCGCGAGAGCTTCGTCGGGACCCTGGAACGCTGTCTGCAGAGCCTGGAGAAGTCCCAGGACGTCTCTGTTCACATCACCAGTAATTATCTCAAACAGGTACTCGAAGGCCGGTTAGACACCACATCACAGATAACACAGGAAACAGACCCCACAGGCAAGCCTGACCTCAAGCTAGCCAAGAATTTCCCTTTCACCGTTTTGCCCATCCAGTTGGAATTTTATTTAGTTTTCCCATCACATGACCCCTACCCATCGGAGGTGCTTGTGAACTGCAAAATCGCAGTTAAGGCAACATGCAGGACGGTGAAAATGTAAGTAAAGGTGCCCAAAGAGTCAAAAAAATAGATGATCAACCCATGGAGACTCTGCACGTTTATGGAAGGATATATTTGGGAACCTTGAAACAGGACTCTGTGCTTTAAGTAAATATTTATCACATTTTTTAATCGGCCACTCTGCTCAGGGCATCTTGATTTTCTTTTGTGTGTTCTCTTTCAGATCTTAAATGCCGCCTATCACGTTGAAGTTACGTTTCACTCAGGGTCCTCGGTTACAAGGATGCTATGGGAGCAAATCAAACAGGTGGAGCTTCCGTAGAGAAACATTTTCCGCCCCTCGTTGGCTCAGATGAACCTTAGTCACTAATAGCGACTGATGTCTAGGATATTCTGTTGGTGTAGGGTGGCCATTTGTCCTGGTTTGTCTGCCCGGGAGAGTTCTGATTTGTGCCTATTCTGAAATAATAAGGAGCAGTGCCCTTTTAACGCTTAAAATAGTGCGTTTAAATGAAATTTTATGCAGCCATAAAACTCTCCTTCACCAGCTTCTTCGTATTTCTTTTTCCCAGCTTAAATGTTTTCTCAGACCCAGGCTTTGTTGCCAGAGGCCATTTGTGTGGTTTCTTTTCCTGAATTTGATGTGGCTCTTTTTCCATACCGAGTTCAGAAAGAGAATTCTCAGGCACCCCTGGCACTAACTGTACATGGTGAGGGCTTGTGAGCACGTAGACTAGGCCTAGTGTTCCTTGATGCTTTCCCTTGGTCTGAGCCCTGATTCTGAGGTCGATGGAATTGGAGAGGGGTCTTAGCCATCACGTGGCTCCTTTCTTCACAGCCTGCTCCTAACTAGTGGCTAGCCCCAAGGGGAAGGGTTGTTGGTTCTTTCTGGTGGCTCCTGTCTCCCACCCTTGAGTGTTCTCACTGACCTCATCCTGCAGATCATCCAGCGCATCACGTGGGTGAGCCCACCTGCCATCACGCTGGAATGGAAGAGGAAGGTAGCCCAGGAAGCCATCGAGAGCCTCAGTGCCTCCAAGTTGGCCAAGAGCATCTGTAGCCAGTTCCGGACCCGGCTCAACAGTTCTCACGAAGCTTTTGCAGCCTCCTTGCGGCAGGTGGGTGTGTGGGAAGAGAGAGAAGAACCTACCCACTGGGGAATATTTTGCCCACTGCTCTTCATATAATTTTTATAAAATTACCAGTTATTTTCTTCCTAGCTATTAAACGATAATATTATGGGAATTTTCATCAGTACATTTTTCATGTGGAGATTTTTCTAACTCCAGGGAACATGGAGGGAACTCAGTTAATTTCTCCCCATTTCACTGAGTGAGGAATGAAAATCAAGGGGTAGGAATTTTGGGTGCCTGGGTGGCTTAGTTGTTAAGCGTCTGCCTTTGGCTCAGGTCATGATCCCTGGGTCCTGGGATCGAGCCCCGCATCGGGCTCCCTGCTCCGCGGGAAGCCTGCTTCTCCCTCTCCCACTCCCCCTGCTTGTGTTCCCTCTCTCGCTGTGTCTCTCTCTGTCAAATAAATAAATAAAATCTTTAAAAAAAAGGGGGGTAGGAATTTTATTTAAGATATTTAGTATTTTAGGAATGAGTCAGAAAAAAAAAAACTTTGTAACTGCTGTCATACTGGTTCACAGTTATGTGACATCTGCTTGTCCCCTTGGGGTGGATGTGCGTGCATGTGTGTGTATGTGTGTGTAGAGTGTGGGGTGCAGAGATGTGGGTATGCATCCAGGAGGAACAGTTATTGCTTACCAAGAGTTCGCTGTGTACCAGTCACGTTACAGACATCTTGTGTAACTCTCACAGTTACCCTTAGGAGGTAGCTGTTATTACCCCATATAATAGGTGAGGAAGCCAAGCTGGGGACTTGATAAGTCACATGACTTTTTTCTGTTTCCCTCCCAGCTAGAAGCTGGCCACTCAGGCCGGTTGGAGAAAACAGAGGATCTGTGGTTGAAGGTTCGGAAAGATCATGCCCCACGCCTGGCTCGCCTTTCTTTGGAAAGCCGTTCTTTACAGGATGTCTTGCTGCATCGTGAGTCCTTGTTTTTCCCAAGTAGATGGGAAGAAGGTTCTGGATACCTGACATTCTCATGTTCTACCTTGGAGAATCCCAGTGTCTAAAGCTGCTTCCTTGCAAAGCTGCCTCAGTACCCCCTGATGTGTTTTTGAATTCCTAAAGTCTGTTTGGTCCTGCTCTTTATACAATTCAGAGAAGATGACTGAAGTTTATTCAAATCGGAGCAGTTAGGTTACTTTCTACTAGTTTCCAGTAGTATCAGAATTTCTCCCCCCAGCATAATTACAACTTCCTACTCCTAGGTCCACGTCTAAGAATCTTTTTTTTTTTTTAAAGATTTTATTTATTTATTTGAGAGAGAGAGCAAGCAAGAGAGCACGAGCGGGGGACAAGGGCAAAGTGAGAGGCAGACTCCCAGCTGAGCAGGGAGCCTGACGTGGGGCACGATCGCAGGACCCCAGGATCATGACCTGAGCCAAAAGAAGATGCTTAACTGAGCCACCCAGGCACCCTAAGAATCTTTTTTTTTTAACAAGATATTTTATATATTTTTTAATCTGCAGTCTTCAAGATTTTAAGTAATCTGTACACCCAATGTGGGGCTCGAACCCACAACCCCGAGATCAAGAGTCACGTGCTCCACTGACCAAGCCAGCCAGGTGCCCTGCGTGTCTAAGAGTCTTAGGGAGGTTGCCCAGCAAGTTCTCATTCCTCCTGCCTTATCTCTGTGTCCATACTTGATAGGTAAACCTAAACTGGGACAGGAGCTAGGCCGGGGCCAGTATGGTGTGGTGTACCTGTGCGACAACTGGGGAGGACACTTCCCTTGTGCCCTCAAGTCGGTCGTCCCTCCGGATGAGAAGCACTGGAATGACCTGGCTTTGGAGTTCCACTACATGAGGTAGGTTCTCCTGTCATTCATCTCTATGGGAGAAGATCCAGAGAAGAAGCCAGAAGCCTGGTACGAATTTTGTACCAAGAGCTACAGCACGCCATGCCTCTGCATTCCTGTGTCCCCAGATGTTGTAGCCAGTGTTCCTGTGTTGGGCCCAGAAATGTGCTCTCTTGCAGGCCTTCGTGGTCTCTTCCCTCTCCCTCCCATCCCGATTTCTCAGACTCTGCCTTCCGTTTGACTTCTTAGTCCTGAAGGCCTGTCAGTCTTCAGATTCCGTAATTCTGACTCCTTGTTAGAGAGGCCATTCTCTTGGCCCTCCCTCTGCACTGAGGGCCATGACATCCGGCCCTGGACAAGAGCGGTCTCAGGGGACTCCTGCCTATGTGGCAGCACGCTGTCCCGATTGGAGCCGGAGCGTTGCAGCCCCGGCCTCTCTCGTTCGCACCAGGTCTCTGCCGAAGCACGAGCGCTTGGTGGATCTGCATGGCTCGGTCATCGACTACGGCTACGGCGGGGGCTCCAGCGTCGCCGTGCTGCTCATCATGGAGCGGCTGCACCGGGACCTCTACACTGGGCTGAAGGTGAGGCAGGAGGAGGGGGCTGCAGCGCACCCGGCAGCCACACCTGCAGGGTCCTCTCCGGCCTGTCTTCTGTTCCTGTTCATCCAGACCTTCTGGCTTTCACAGGACATCTTTGGGCAATAATCAAGCTTTATTACCCTCACTTCCAAAAAACCTTAAACATTTCTCAGAATCGATTTTTTGGCCCAGTTTATATCTAGAATACCACTTTTACCTCTTGTGGTGGTAAAAATCTAGATGACTCAGAAGAGCAGAAAGGCATCCTGTAACTTTGCTATTTTTCCTCTTTTTTTGCTCTTGATGGATACAGCCAGTGTTTGTTGTTTAGTCAACAAATATTTATTCGTGACTACTTTGTACAAGACCCTGTGTTAAGCACCATAAGGGGATATCAAAAAGTGTAATTGCCAGGGGCACATGACTGACTCAGTCGGTAGAGCATGTGACTCTTGATCTTGGGGTCCTGAGTTCAGGTCCCATGTTGGGCATAGAGCTTACTTAAAAAAAAAAAAAAAAGTGTGATTGCTAGAAGCTTTTAAGAGACTTGCTGTCGGTGAATATTTCATTAAGATTTGGTGTTTGAGTGTGATAAATCCACCTTGATGGGTAAAATTTGGGCAGGTAGAAGGAAGAGGCTGTCCCAGCAGGAGGGAATAGCATAATGCCCAGAGAATTTGAAGGACACTAGTCATGTTGGAACAGCTGTCTGGGAATAGAGGGGCATGATGTGCAAAAAAATGTTGAGAAGAAAGTACAGAACACCAAAATTAAGAATTTCCATAGAATTCAAAAAAAAAAGTATATCATGAAATGCTGTTGAAATATTTTTTTGGGGGGGCGCCTGGGTGGCTCAGTCGTTAAGCGTCTGCCTTCGGCTCAGGTCATGATCCCAGGGTCCTGGGATCGAGCCCCGCATCGGGCTCCCTGCTCCGCGGGAAGCCTGCTTCTCCCTCTCCCACTCCCTCTGCTTGTGTTCCTGCTCTGGCTGTGTCTCTCTCTGTCAAATAAATAAAAATCTTTAAAAAAAAAAGAAATATTTTTTTTTTTTAGATTTTTATTTATTTATTTGACAGAGAGATAAAAAAAAAAGGAACACAAGCAGGGAGAGTGGGAGAAGGAGAAGCAGGCCTCCTGCCGAGCAGGGAGCCCGATGAGGTGCTCAATCCCAGGACCCTGGGATCACGACCTGAGCTGAAGGCAGACGCTTAACAACTGAACCACCTGGGCACCCCGCTGTTGAAAGATTTTGAGTGAAGGTGAAGTACCCTCAGTTGGATGTCGAATTTCCCTCACCCAAAGCAACCACAAGGGACGTGGAGACATTCCTTTGTCTGGTCCCGACATGGGGGCAGAGTGGGACGGGGGAAGCTAATCATTGAGTATCTGGGTAGGTCCCTTCTCACAGATTACCTGGAAGCTTCTGGATAGAAGACGGGAATCCTTAGAAATGATTGCAAGAGCCATGAGAAATCAGTAGGGTGGAGGAAATGACTCTCCCACTGGCTCTCCCTCTTCATTTCAGAGGAGTTAGGCTCAGCACTGTCTGATGCTTTCCCACAAGTGGGCTGAGCTTCTGGATGAGTGATGTAATGTTCTCTGGAATTCAAGAGGCCCTATGTTGGAGGCATGGTAAAAGTAAGATGAGTGACTTTGATATTTGAATCCATAAAGCCAAACCTGGGCTAACCAGGCCTACAAAGCAGTGGAAGGCAGTCTGCCCGAGAGACCTAGAAATCCTTTTTTTTTTTTTCTAATACTTTTATTTTTTAATTTTTTAAAAATAATCTCTACGCCCAACATAGGGCTGGAACTCACAGCCCTGAGATCAAGAGTCACATGCTCTACCGACTGAGCCGGTCAGGCGCCCCAAGACCTAGAACTACTTTGAGCCTCAAGGGCAGTTCCAGAGCCTTTTCAGGGCTTGGAAATGAGCTCATGCCTCCAGGTGTTGGCATGTGCCACCTCTAGTGTCATGTGGGGTCATCCGGTCACTGCATGCGGCTTCCAAGGGGTGTTATCAGGCCTCACAGCTGTCCTGCCTTGCTTTCCCTCGGCTTCCTTCTAACTGCTTTCCTCTTCCTTTCTTCCCGCCTGCTTCTCTGCCCTTGTCCTCTGTGTGCCCCAGCACCGGCTGCCTCGCAGTGCCCCGCAGAAGGAGCTCTTAGTGGGTTTAAGCACGCTGGACTGAGGAGTTGTCTTGTTAGTGACGAGTGAGCCCTTTTGTCTCCCCAAGGCTGGGCTGACGCTGGAGACCCGTCTGCAGATAGCACTAGATGTGGTGGAAGGGATCCGCTTCCTGCACAGCCAGGGACTCGTGCACCGTGATATCAAGCTAAAAAATGTCCTGGTAAGTAGAGCTGTTTCCCCGAGATAACGCCCTGCCTCTGTGGCTTAAGTGGCTGTCCGAGGGTCCGCCTACATGTGAGTGGGATCACGGGGTGCGCCTGCCGAGAACGCACTGGAGTTGACAGCAGATAGGTTGATGGCATCTTGGACGTAAGGCTTGGGGAGTGTCAGGCCGCCTCCTAGACCAAGCTTCTGTTGCTTAAAGTTTTTTCTGCTGACACTGTTGGGAACATGTAAACGTACAGAACAGAGTGGTCCGATGGAGAGCCACATACCGTTCATCCGGATTCATGTTCTCTTTCTCCGGGGTTCATCTCTCTCTGTTCCTCAGTCTCTCTCTCTCTCACACACACGCGCACACACACACACACACACACACTTTTTTACTCAATCTCTCTCTCTCTCGTTACAGATAGCACAGTACTCCTAAATACTTGAGCTCGTATCTCCTATAAAGGACATTTTTCTGTGTAATAAAAATGCTATCATCACACCAAAGAAATTTAACGTCAATACAATACTGTTAGTTAATAAACAGTTTATATTGACATTTCCCAGTTACCCAGACACAGTCCATTTGTTTGCTGGTTTGATCCAGGGTCACTCCAGGGATCAGACGGGGTACTTTGTTGTCATGTTTTCCTGTCCTCCTTTAATCTAGAATAGTCCTTCTGCCCTTTTTTGCTTTTGTGATGTTTTTGAGGATTCCAGGTCTGGTTGTTATTTAGGGTTTGGTCAGAGGTGCTGGATAAGGGCTGAGATGGGTAAATGCACCGTCAAAGAGAAGGTGATCATGAACCCAGCAGTCCTGGTATCTCAGTTCTGAAGAGCCTTCTGAGCCGCTCCTCTTGAAGCTGTATTGGGTACCATCAGGGTGTCTCTGGCAACAGACATGATACATAGAAAGATGGCAGTGGTGTGGGGGAGGGGAGAGGTTGCCCTAAAGTCATAGGCCGAAACCTGAGAGGCTTATCACTAGTCAAATGAGGGACAGATTTATTCTCTTGGACCTTTAGGAAAGGAAACTGCAGGGAATTCAAGCAGCTCTCCTCAGCTGACCAGAGGACCTCAGCCTTCTTCCTTCGTGACTTTCTGCCCTGGGGTCTGGAGGTCCGAGGAGAATCATCAGGAACTGAAATACTTTCCTCGGTGTCTTTCACTTTATTCATTCTTCCAAGACTTACTAAGTTTCTGCGATGTGCCAGGCACTACGCTAAGGGCGAGGTATACAAAGGCGAAGAAGAGAGCCCCTGCCATCCAGGTTGCTGACAGTCTGGGGAGAAGACAGGAGTGGGAACAAATCTGGAGACAGGGAGGCTTGATTAAGTGCTACTTGAAGGAGGACGCCTGCTTCTGAGCTTGAGTGTGCATCTGAGTGCTGTGTGCAGGATCTGACGCAGGCTCACTCTCGCCCTGCTTTGTTGGCAGCTGGACAAGCAGAACCGTGCCAAGATCACTGACTTAGGATTCTGCAAGCCAGAGGCCATGATGTCAGGCAGCATTGTGGGGACGCCAATCCATATGGCCCCTGAACTTTTCACAGGTAAGCCGTGGGGCAGGGAGTGGGCTTCAGCAGGGCTCTGTACTTTAACCCTGAGGGCTACCCCTTGGGCTGAGTAGTATCCACAAGTACTCCTGGCAGATCTGGTGCAGACAAGGGAGAAGCAGAGGAGGGAGACCTAAGGCAGGGCAGGTCGAAGGGAAGAGGTAGAGCGGGGAGAAGGAAAAATGCACACAGGAGACACCAGATCTTCTTGTGCAGGTTTCTCCAGCTGTTCGTGCCGTAATTGCCATAATTAGCCAATTGGTTGATTGGTAAATACTGATTGAATGGTTTCTATATGCCAGGAGTTGGCCCTGATCATTAAGGAACTTGCAGATGACAGAGATGCACTGAGAGAGGTAGGATAATTAGGAAGCAGTATAGGACAGCATGTGACAAGGCACTAAAATGGGTGCCACCCGACGTGACGTTGGTGTTCAGACAGGTGATAAAGGAAGGTTGAAATGTTTGACTTTTGTGGTAGAAGTGAGATGTTGGGTAGAACTTGAGTCAGGTCTGGAAAAATTGGTCTGTGGGAAGGGAACCTGTAGGAAGTGTGTTTTTTGAGCTGGGCAGCATGAGTATGCTTTTTCATATATTTTGTTCCATTTAATCCTCACGGCCCTTCTGTGGTGATGGTGATGCATTTTTATGCCCACGTCACAGATAAAGTCGAGTCCAGATTGGTGAACTTCAGAAAGCCACCCCAAAACACTAGAGATGATGGAGCTGGGATTGGAATCTAGGTTTTTCTGGCTCTAGAATCTAACCATGTGTCACGAAGGAGAGAACATTCTGGAGGCTGGGGAAAGGGAAATAGGAAAATTGCAGCATCAGCATGACAGGAAGGAAATCCACGTGGGGAGTAACAGCAGACAAGGCTGGAGATGAAATGCTCTGAGGTTGAACTCCGCGCGGAGGAGCGAAGGCTCGGTGTGGGGGCCGTGAGGAACTTGAGCTTGTGCGCAGGCGCGGGCAGAAAACATGTTCACGGAAGGATAGCTTAGTAGCAGGAGGTGGAGGGGTTCGAGGGGGCAGAGCAGTGGGGCTCGTGTCCAGGAGCAGGCTGCTAGTGGTGCGTCGGGTGCCGGGGCAGCTCCGGGGGGGGGGGGGGGGGAGCGGGCAAGATCGTGTGATCAAACACCCGCGACCAACAGCAAGGGGGGGGCGGGCGAGGACCCAAGGGCTCGAGCCTCACGGACGGGGCATGGTTGTGGCGTTTGCCGAGACAGATGCGAAGGTCACGGCAGGCCCCTCGGCCGCGCGGGGAAGAGCTGGAATCGGCGACCTGCGCGGCCTCCGCTCATTAGCCTCGTGCACAGGGCTGCCCCCGGCCCTCCGCGGAGTCGGGCATGGAAAGATTGGGGTTAGCTGGACCCACAGCGCAGCCAAACGCGCACGCAGCGTTTCTCTTCTTCTAGATTTACTTCCTAAAGAAGTTCTATTGCCGTTGCTTTTGTTTTCCTTTGGCGACTTCATATTTCATTTCCCTGGATTGTTTCTCTGCAGTCCTATTGCTGACAGAAGAATCTTCCAAAATACATTCTTCGTGTCACCTGCTGCCCTAAAACATAAGGGACTTCCTGCTGTCCATTGAATCAAGACTTTTCTGTCTGACTTTTAAGATCTTTACGTTCTGGTTCCAATCTACCCACCCACCTGTTTCCCAGCCTTATTTCCCTAATCCGACCTTTCAGGATGAATCTTTTTGGCTGTTCCATCAGAATCAAAGGCCTGTCCTCCTCCTTTGTCAGGCTCTAGCCTTGCTCTCCTGGTATCTAGCACTACCCTCCCGGTGCTGTGGTTTTGGGTGTAGTAAGATGGGCGTTGTAAACAGTCCTGCCAATCAGGGTTCTTAGGGGAGGCAATGGATGTTAAAAGCTTTCGGAAAAAAGGTGTGGAGACCTCTGCAGACCCCGTGAGCGGGGATGCAGTCGCTCTCTGTCCCTGGCTCACTGTCTCGACCCTTCTCGCTCCAGGGAAGTACGATAATTCCGTCGATGTCTACGCCTTTGGCATTCTCTTCTGGTATATCTGCTCCGGCTCTGTCAAGCTCCCTGAAGCATTTGAGAGGTGTGCCAGCAAAGACCATCTCTGGAACAATGTGCGGAGAGGTAAGAGCCACAAGTCCTACCTTGTCCTGACCCCCCACCGCCCCACCACCACCACCACTGAGAGCAGCAGGACCACATACCGTCACGGAATCCAGGAAAGACACTGAAGTCAGGCCTTTGCTTTCAGGCAGCACTGTACTGAACTGTTTCTTTCTTTCTTTCTTTTTTAATATTTTATTTATTTATTTGACAGAGAGAGAGCACAAGTAGGCAGAGCGGCAGACAGAGGTAGAGGGAGAAGCAGGCTCTCTACTGAGCCGGGAGCCCGATGCGGGGCTCGATCCCAGGACCCCGGGATCATGACCTGAGCTGAAGGCAGACGCTTAACCAACCGAGCCACCCAGGCACCCCTGTGCTGAACTGTTTCAAGAAGGCTTTTTTCTTGAACCATTTCCAATTCTTCAACTTCCTATGCCAGTGCATTCCAGTTTGTTGTCACAGTTACTACTAGGTTCTGACCTCAGTGTTTGCGGTTGAAGCCAGAACTCCTGAGCCCCGCCTGGGTGATTGGTCTGTGAGCTGGTCGGGCCTCATTGTGGCACGGGCCCTCTCACTGACTCTGGCCTTGTTTCCATGTGCCTTTCTCCAGGGGCCCGGCCAGAGCGTCTTCCTGTGTTTGACGAGGAGTGCTGGCAGTTGATGGAGGCCTGCTGGGATGGGGACCCCTCTCAGAGACCTCTCTTGGGCATCGTCCAACCCATGCTCCAGGGCATCATGGACCGGCTCTGCAAGTCAAATTCTGAGCGGCCAAACAGAGGACTCGATGATTCTACTTGAAAGCAAAGACCTTTCTCCTTTACTCTCTATTTCTTTCCTTCCCCTCACCTCTTGGCCATGGGAAGAATTTGACATTTATTCAGAAAGCTCCCAAGGGAACTGATGCTTGCTGGGCAGCTTGAGACCTTCCCAGGCAGCGATGCCTCCCGGATAGTGAAGAGTTGGCTGGCTGTGGGGCATGTTAAGCACCTCACTGATGCCCCAAGCCATCCTGTTAGCAAAGGATTGTCTAGGACACGTAAACGCCGAAGAATGCAATGTTCCAGCCTCAGAACTGAAAAGGAGGCAAATGTACCAGTTGTCTGTTCACTGTATGTTGGCTAAGACAGGCGGGGCACTGCAGTGGCGATAGTATTAAAAACTATAATTTTCATAATTTTGGCTCTAGCTAGGAATAGTTTGGTTCTCTCCCGTCGTCAGGACCCTTAGGAAATTTGAACTAAGTTCCGGAATTGTGAGAACATAGGAGCAAAACAGCAACTTGCTGCTCCCTGCACCCGGATCTCAGGTTGCAGAGGTCAGAGGCCCCAGTGAGGGAGCTAGAAACAGAGCTGTCTGTTCCTTATAGTGCCAGCATGTTTACATTTATAGGACTGACTACTGGGGGTGGGTGTCACGGTTACATCACCAAGAGGCCACAGAAAGAAAAAAAAATGTGTACACATATGTATATATATACATATGTGATTGGATTTTGAGTTACTGCTAACCCCAGGATAGAATCTCTTCCTCTTCCCTTTGGTCTTGATTTTTTTCCCCCCTTTTTGGTCTCAAGATGGGGAAATTCCAGTTAACATGGTATCTGGGGTTTTTTTTCTGAGTAAAACTGACCGGTACAGAGTAACTGGTGAGACCCGAGATGTGGGCAGTGATCTGGAGGCCGTGGGCTTCCCTGCAAACCTACTAGAAGGATACCAGGTTGTTTCTAAAACTTAGAAGAATCAAAAATTCCCATTTTTGTGTTTGAATCTAACACACTGATGTTTTTAAATTCCATCAATGAGCTTTTTAACCGAGATTTCTTTTGCAACTTGTCCCTTCATTTTACTTTATTTTGAATATAACGTAAGAAGGAAAGCACCAGATGAAAGAGAATGCTTTTTGTAGCTCTGTGTGTGCCTCTCACATCTGTGTGTGCGTGTCTGGGACGGTTCCCCTCCCCTTCAGCTGGGAGGTGTGCTGGTGGGCTTTTGGAGCGTGTGTCAGGAAGTGTGCCTAAGTGGAGAAATTCTGGAGGGGAACAATTTAGATGTTGATGCATCTCAGATCTTGACTTAAAGCCCCGCGATGGTCCATTTGATTTAGAACACCAGGTGGGTGAAGGAATAGACAGTGGAGGTCAGTAGCCTCCGTCCATCTGCCTAATTTCCAAGCACTGTGGTCTCTCCCCTGTGCCTGGCGCCCAAGTCTGTGAAGCAGGTCCCTGAGTAGGTGTGTAAGGAAATGGGCAGATTTGCTGCTAGAATTTTGTAGGGTTGTTTCTGAGAGAATGACCTCTTAAACATTAATAGAGTGTAAATGTCATCTACAAGAAAATTTTCATATAACTCTTAAAGTTCAGTTTTCACTCTTTGACTCTGCTGGGTTCTGATGATGATACACTTGAGTGTAGTAAGTCTCCAAGCACTTGGAGCCTTTTAGAAACTCTGTATAGTGCTAAGAACCTTTTTACTTGCAAACAGTAAAGTGACCGACCCAGTGTCTTTGGGTTCTGTATGAGCTCCAGCCTTGTTCTGGTGGAATGTTCAGTAGATCTTTTAGAATTGTTAACAGCCATTTATAGCTTTACTTCTTCAAGTCCACTCTATTCTTGTCTGCATTAACTTGTTTGTCCTCCTGGGGACTATGATGGGGCTTCCAGGAAGCCAGATTTTCAAGTTTAAAAAGGAGAGATGAATAGTGTCTACCTGCCGAAAAATCAGTCTGTTCTGTACGAAATTTCAGGAAAGGTGTTCTATAGTTCCCTTTCCCAGAGAGTCTTCCTTTACTCCAGCTCAAATCAGGAGTCCGTGCTTATGCTGTGGAAGCCGCATTCCTAACATTCTTCCAAAGTCTTAGTTCCTACCCCCATTCATGCAGGGGCTGGTGGGGGGGGGGGGAGGTTTTCCTCTACCCAGTGTCCCTTTTCAGTTTGTCCCCTCCCTGCAGCTTAATCTGCTCCCAGGCACCAGTTTCGCAAGAGATGCCCACATTTTTTGCCTGAGTGAGAAGGGAGGATGGGAGAGACCAGTGCTAAGTAAGACAGTAGTTGTGTTAACAATTCATTACAAAAAAAGTATTTTGAGAAAAGGTGCAAGATATTCCTGAAGATCTCCAGGCCAGCCAAAGTCCACGTAGAGATATTTGGAGGTGTTGTTTGAACACTCAGCGGGCTGAGTGCGGGAATACATATATACAACATATGCATACTTTGCTTCTGTTTCATAACATTGTCAGCTAATTTGGGATTCTTTGTTCCTTGGCATCCATTATTATTAAAGTGATGGAATGCCATGAAATGTACTGTACTGTATATTACTTGGGAAGACACTAGGTATTCAAAGAAGTCTGGGAGCACTTGGGCTGTAGCGGGCTCAACAAGACCAAAGTCCTAAAGATTTTACCTCCTAGCTTTGGTTGAGTGTGCTCCCAGGTGGTGAGGTGAGATTGTGGCGGGGGGAGGAGGAAGGATGGGCCGGGTTACCCTTACTGTGTTCCGTCCTTCTAATCAGCTCCATCAGGGCCACTTACCCCAGCCTGAAAATGATCACCTGGCCATTTTTAACACGCTTGAAGTCCAGTCACTTGCGTTACTTCAGAACTGAGTGAGGGAACTTCTTGCAGAGCAATCAAGAAATGGCAGAGCCTGGGGCCCCGGAGCCTGGGGCCTTGGAGCGGCTGACCCTGGGCCTAGGGAGCTGGCAGGGAGGTCAGTCTGGCATGAGTTGGGGAATGCTTGTCTGGCTGAGGTTTCCACGGGCGTGCCCTAGTTCCTTGACCCTCTTTATAAAGAGTGGCTCATTGATTGAGCAAGCCTTCCACTTCTCTAGGAAGGAGGGCTGTGCGGGTTCTTCCCAGACCAAAGAGAATCACTTGTGACTCCATCAATTTCAAGGGGACAGAGCCTATGTAGCAGCTTCTCCTAATTTTTAACACTACAATTCAAGGAAACAGTGAAGGGAAGGACATGTTACTGCCACAGATGGAAACGGGGGGAACAGTAGAACTCCCCCCAGTACGTGCCAGCTCTCTGGTACATTTTGGTGCATCCTTGCTGAGCTGCCAAAGATGGCTTGGAAGTTGTTTCCCGACGAGAGAAGAGGTTTGGGGCGGCAGGGCTCCAAAGTAGTAACTGCACTGAATGACACTTTATTTTTTTGGCTTATTATTTAGCACTGAGAAGCCAAGAGGGATCGGTGATTATAGTAGCACTAAGGGGGCAGAGGTCCCCTGTGGCCTCGCTTTGGAGAGAAGGCAGGCTTGCTGTTCATCTGGCTAATCAGGGAGTCTCCAAAGCCCATACTTCGCAGCAGGATAAAGGGCCCTTGAAGAGTCCTTCGCCAAAAGAGTAGTTGCTTTCTTTGAGTTTTCAAAGTTTGACTTCTGGATTTGCTGGATCATATAACCCACTTTTTCTTTAAAAGAAAAAAGTGGTTTTATCCTTCTAAATATGGGGGGAGTGGTTAGGGCTAGCGCTGTATTTAAGTGGGTGAGGAGGGAGCAACCTTCAGAAACTTGCATCGCAAACTCCTTTGGAGGTTGCGAGGAACACTGCTGTTCTTAAAGGGGTTTTATTTTTAACTTCATCTGCTTTGTTAACATCCAGTCCAGTCGAGATGCACGTGGAGACCATGGGAATACCTGGCCATCCAACTCAAGAGGGTTGAGAAGGAAACCGGTCTGGACAGCGTGTTGTCTTTTATCCTTATGTAATATTTTTGTTTGTTTTAAAGGACTAATGTCTATTACAGTGTTAATAAAAGTGTAACATACTAAGTGTGTAGAATAAAAGTGCAATAACAAGAGGAAGTTACCTTGGCACAAACCTCAGTCCTTCACTCTCCCTGTGCCGTCTCTTTCCATAATATGGCAAACAAGACTGTGTTGTGTTTTTAAGAGTCATACCTATGGGTTAAATCTTTAGTGTCGTTTTGGATGGTTGGGTTTGGTTTTATAGAGTGTTCTGTATCCTTGTGGGGTTGCACAGATACCACACGTGCTGTAGAATAAAGATCACATTAACGTTTGAAGTTCACCTCCCTTTGGCTTTGTTTCCCTTCCCTCCTGGGGACAGAAGGATGCTGGAGCACCTTACTCCCCCGGACACTGCTCCGGATCTCTGGGTGCTTGACATTATCACTACCAGAGGCTGGGGCAGGAGGATGGGAGGAGCAAGTAGGATGATAGCAGTTTATGTTTCAGAGCCTTTCCTGGATTCACACCCTTTTCCCCAGCTTCTCTTCAGCACGGACTTGCCGCATTGGGAGCTCGCGCACGAGCCGGACTACTCTCTATTCCACCGTGAGAGAATCTGAGGGTGGAAGCTACATAGTGGCCCATCTGCATTTTCTATCTGGGCTCACCCCACTGTTGGGATCCGCTTGCTCGGCATTGCGTGGCGGGCACCAGTATCGGCCCCTCGCAGCCGAGGGCCACCACTGGCCGTCACCGTCACCGTGGAAGGTCAGCAGGCAGCCTGCCGGGCTCTTGCACAGGGTGTGTGCCGGGTGGTTTTTTTTTGAGTTACGGGATCCTGCTAGTGTGGCGGCCTCACTTTTTGCTGCAACTGGTGCTCCGACTACAGCACCCGTTCAGCCAGGAGGGGGCAGCACACCCCAAACAATTGCTGTGTTTGTGCCTGAGTCTTCCAGGAAAAGCCGCAGTGGAACCCAAGCGGTTCCCAGCCCGCCCTGCCTCCATAGACGTTTCATGCACATAAGCCTCTCCCCCTGGAGAAACTTTCCACCGGCTCCAGCCACCCTTCACAGCTAAATGCATCCGTCCTGGATGCACGTTCTCTCTTCTCATGTAAAGTTCAGGGGGACAGTTCGCTTCACTTCCTCTCTTACCAGGACAACTTTGGAGAAAGTAGCTGGTGGTAACACCTTTTTAGCCTGGGCATGCTTTCCCAAGAACACCTCCCTCAGCAGGCGATTGCACAGGGTAATCGGGGTGGCCTTCCTGGTCCTGTGTTTGGGTGGGGCTCAGAGGGGAGAGGCCACCAAGTGTCTGAACATTATTAAATTCAGCTTCAAAACGTCTGCCTTTAGCAGGATCCCAAGGAGGCCCCAAAGTACTCACTGACTAGCCTACTTTCAAGTGCAGTTATCATGGGGGGCTGTGCGCTGGTTGAGCCCCGTGGGGCCCTCCTCAGGATGACCTGCTCCTCAGTCTATTCTAACAGTAGCATTTCAAGTCAGTGGGAAAACAGACTATTTTATAAAACTGGCTATCCACCTGAGGAAAAGATCATGCAACAGAAAAGGTAAAGATCTAAATGTAAAAAAAAAAAAAAAAACCTATAAAGGAAGGAGTTTTTCTATATGCTAGGCACTATTCTAAAAAAAAAAAAAAAAAAAACTCATTAATCCTCACCACCACAACGCCATGTTACTGATGAGAAAATGAAGGCACAGAGAGATTAGCCAGAGCTCGGATCTGAACTTA